GTACGAGAAGGTTGTGGTAGGAAGCATGCATTTCTGAGAAGAGGAGGCCGGAAGAAGGCCTCCTTATATACCTTTTGTCGACGCTTGTCTGTGTATGGCAGAAGAGCGTCGACGACTGTAGAGAACACTGTGTGTGATGGTGTGTGTAACGGCGTGTGTAATGGCAATGGTGTGCGCAACGGTGTGCGCAACGGTGTGCGTCACGGAGTTTGTGTTTGTGACAGAGTGTGTAACGGTGTGTGTAACGGTGTGTGTAACGGTGTGTGTAATGGGCGCAGCTAATGGAGCGGGCCGTCCGTTACAACCTGATTGACTTCCCAAAAGCTTGTGCTAGCGCACCGTGTCATGCACCTGCAGCGCTACAGAAGGTCACTTACATGGCCGGTTGTAAAGGCAGTAAGTTTCCTGTCATGATTGTTGTTGCTGAAGGTCTGCAAGGCAACCACGCTGACAACTATGGGCTCTTTGGACTTGGGTGTGGGCAAGGGTCTGTGTCTTTCACGCGTCTTCTTGCTCTCAAGCTACAGCCATGAAGAGACAGTCTATGATGGTGTGGAATCTCCTGCCTCTCCGCCATAGCTTTCCCACTGCTACTTGACCAAAAGTCCTTGTGCCCCATTTGCTTTGCAGCCCCATGAGTAACCCTTTCCTGATCCCTGCCCCTGCAGTAGCACAGTATCCGGTTGCAGAAGTGAGAGCAGCAAACCTTGCCCAGAGGCACCGTGTGCAAGCTCTCATGGACTACAGCCATGAACGGAGGGTCTACGATGGTGTGAACGGCCCCCTTGCTCCTTCTGCTACAGCTGTCCCACGGCTACTCGACCAGATACTTTCCGGTACCGCATCGGCTTCTCAGCGCTATGAGTATCCCTTTGCTCACTCCTGCCCCTGTGCAGAACCTTGATTCAGCCCTAGGAGCAGCAACGCTGGCCCAGAAGCGCCATGCGCACAATGAAGAACGCATTGCCACTCTTCACATGGTCAGCGATGAGCTCACCCAGCGACTCACCCAGAGACCAGTCATTCCGGAGAGGTCGCCAGAGCTGTCCCACGGCTACCCGACCAGATACTTTCCAGTACAGCACCAGCTTCCCAGCGCCATGAGTGCCCCTTTGCTCACTCCTGCCCCTCTGGCGGCACAGAACCTCGACGCAGCCCTAAGAGCAGCAACGCTGGCCCAGAGGCGACATGCGCGCAATGAAGAGTGCATCGCCGCTCTTCACATGATCAGTGATAAGCTCACCCAGCAATTCACCCAGAGACCAGTCATTCCAGAGAGGTTGCCAGAGCAATTGGCAGAGATGCGCCAGGATCTGTTGGACCTGGCTGCCTACGAGTTTGCACGGTAAGTCAGGATGGTCAGCATTGCATTGTGCCTTTCATTGCTGACTTTTCAATGCACACGGCAGTGAGGGCATGCGCACCATCAAAGTCGGCCACAGGATGGGGGTGTGGCTTGACGATGCTGCAATCCTGCCAGCTCTCCATGCATTGGCAAAGAACGCCAACCAGTTCAACCCCTCTGAATGGCCTTGCTTCCTTCTGAATGGACCAGGCCAGCACTATGTTTGCAGGGCAAGCGCTGTGACGACGCTCCAGGGATTGGCTCAGCATGGGCAGCAGTACCTTCGCAATCTTGATTGGTGTCTCTTGCAGCAGTCTGTGCTCGAGTCGACCGAAGAGACAGCTGCGCACGCTACCTATGTTGGATGCTGCCACAGGGACCTCTTGGGCCCTAGTGCAGCCCAGACTAGGGCAGCAGAGGACTCAGGCCAAGTTGGTGGGACTCGTCGCAACCGCTGGGATTCTGGAGGCTGGCAATCATATGGTTTGAGCGATGGGTTTGGTGAGTAGTAATGGTGAATGTAGGGGCTGCATACATGCGAGAGAATCATGCCTCAGACGGTAGGGGCTGCATACATGCAAGTCATGACTCACCGTCGTCCTTATCTCTCGACACAGAATCCAGCGTCTTTGCATGGCAACGGTCGGACGAAGAGCAAGACTGCAAGCGTCTGCTGATTGCCTTGGCGGGACTGTTGTCGCTAAACTCAGCATGAGGCAGTCTGCACTTCCGATTCAACCCTGCTCCTCAACACCGCAAGGCAGTGTTGCGCCTCTTCGATGGAGCTGGTGTGCAAGATGGACGTCCTGCTGCCGTGGGGGAGGTGAATGCAGGCATCGTCAATCTCATCCGCCAGAACCATGCGCATCTTTGTCGTGTAGATTGCTCGACACCGGATGCTCCTGCGGCACTGCAGAGGATCATCGACATGGCCAGTCGTACAAGCGTCAAACGTCCCTCGATGATCGTCATGAAGGACATGACTGCTGAGGATCTACGCGGCCAGCACACCGCTGACTACGGACTCTTTGGTCTTGGTTGCGGGCAGGGTCCAGCATCGTTTCAGCAGCTACTTGCTCTGATCGAATATAGCCATGACAAGACGGTCTACGACAGAATAGATCGACGCACAGCAACACCAGCTTATGCCCGACGCCATGTGATTGACTTTTGGTCCCATGGGCCCGATCATCGCCTAATCTTCCTTCACGCTGTCATGTTAAGTGCTCGCTTGTTGGTTGCTTTCGATGCGCCCGTTGTCAGATTCACCTCGACCTCCGTCATCTGGATCATGTGTAACTGCATCAACAAGATCCTTCGCAATGTTGCGCAAGAAGTTGGCCCTCATCTCTTGGCAGACGTGCTCACTGGCGTTCGATCCATCGCTGATCTAGGCACTGCCATCTTTGATCGCGGAGATGCAAGCAACTTGCGCTGGCAACGGGAAGCAGGACAGGCTCAGCGCTTCATGGTGGATCTCTGCGGAACCACGCGCTCCTCTTCGATCACGCTGAGGAGCGGTAAAGAAATGCTTGTCGACTATAACTTCTTGGCCATCCTCACTGCCCATGAAGATGTGCTCAAGTACTTGCCAAACTACGCAAAGGATTGGAGCTCCCTCATGTACCTGTCCAATGCTGTGTTTCGTGCTGCTCAAGAGCTCCAGGACCGGCAGCTTCTCGAGGGTCTTGTCAGGGAGTCTGGAGTCGCCGCCCTCATCTCACAGACCCGCAGTTGCCTCAAGAAGTTATTTCTGGTCCAAGGGTTCGTCTTTTGGCGGGCGCAAGACGAGGATACCGAGGACAGAGATGATAGCAACAATCACCCTGACGCTCCTGATGACGAGCACCACGCTCATCACGTGGATGACCTCAATAACCCTGATGACGGCAATGACGATGGTAATGACAACAGTGATGACGACGACAATTCCAACGATCCTTATCATTATCAAGGTCACAACGGTCACGACGGTCACGACGGTCACGACAGTCACGACGGTCACGATGGTCACAACGGTCACACTCCCAGCGCTCAGTTGGCGTCGTCAAAGGGCAAAAGGCGCGCCATCGACGAGGCTGACTCGTCAAGAACGCGACGCAAAAGGAACGCATCGCTGCCATTGGAGGTGCTGCGCAAAGACGCATTGCTGCCATCGGAGGTGCTGCGCAAAAACGCGTCGTCATCATCGCAGGTGCTGAAGCAGTTGAAGACGCCAACGTCCACCACGGCTTGCCACCCGCCCCGCTCAGAGTTGTGGCACAAACGGATGAAGCAGAGGACCTTTCGCACTGCTGCCGGATTGCCCCAGAGCAAGGAGCGCAAGAAGCAGTGGGCGGATGCTGCCATTGGAGGTGCTGCGCAAAAACGCGTCGTCATCATCGCAGGTGCTGAAGCAGTTGAAGGCGCCAACGTCCACCATGGCTTGCCACCCGCCCTGCTCAGAGCTGTGGCACAAACAGATGAAGCAGAGGACCTTTTGCACTGCTTCTGGACTGCCCCAGAGCAAGGAGAGGAAGAAGCAGTGGGCGGATGACCACAATAGTCTTCCTAGGCCCAAGGGATACGATGATGAAAAAGCAAAGGCCTGGTTCCTGGGCTTGCGCAAAGGTGCCAAGGTTGCACAAAGTGCTGGAGGGGCTAGTTCTTGTGCTGTGAATCAGCAGAAAGCTGGCTTTGACCTCAAG